ATTTTGGAGACATTGCCTTTAGGCCCCTTGGAAAAAGGATTATAAGTGAGAGGGTCTTTGTTATCTTTGTTCTCTATATTTGTATGCCCGGCTCCAATTAGCTGACAATTAAATCTAAATTATTTCATGTTCGACTCAACGATCGTTGGATTTATTTCACCTTCCTTACGAACTTTTATTGAAAATTCCCAATCCTTCTGATACTTTTATACCCTCAGCCATATGGCTAGAGCCTCATCGAAATAACGGTTTTAGACCCTAGGTCTCTTTGGACCAAGTCCGTTTCAGGACATTTGGGGTCGATCTAGGGTTGGCCGTCCGTTCGTCCGCCTGGCTGGTGCGCCCGATAACTCTCGAAGGGAATATCCGATGTGGTCCAAACTTGATCCTTCTTAATATTATTATCAAAAAACAAAAGGTCGAAATTATCAAAGGACTTATACATACTGCACAGAGATAGAAATAGAAATTCGATTTTGCTCCAACTTTGCAAAACCTAATATTTGTATTAGTTCTAGGTCAGGGGCGAAAATGGACAATATCGATAACTCCATCCCACACAAAGGGTCTTCCGATTGTCTTCAAATTACACGCATAACAATATTTTAATTAACCCAAGTTCGGTGTGAAATTGCATAATATCGGTTCACTTATTCTGGTACCTCCCCCACAAAGGGTCAAAATTTCGAATATCCACGAAGCTCATAAAACACGAAATTAACATCCGAATCCATTCAGACTTGGCATATCTCAATATTTCCACCAACACAAGATCTCTTATAAAAATGGTAGGGATCAGACCATTCCTTATGGTACCTCCCCCACATAGGGTTCAAGATTTTGAAAAACAAAACGCTCAAAGAAAGCGAAATAAGAATGGTAGAATTGTACCTCACCCATAAAGGGTTACAATTTCAACAACTAATATCTGTCATAACAAAATCGGCGATTCTTTACAACTTGCTATACCTAAATATTTCAACCAGATGAATATGGAGTTTATCGGAAAATTGGATGTTCGATTTCCTTAAAATTTTGCACATATCAATATTATTATCTCTATAAAATGGAGTATGAAAATGAAATACTTCGGTCCGCTACATCTGTTACCTCACGCATATTTCCGAATTTTCCTACAATTTGCACATATCTCATATAAAGTTTAGGAAGAAGTCGGTGTATTCCAAATCTGGCACGTTGTAATACTTATATTAGTCTTAGGTCAGATACGAATAGACCAACTTCTTCGGAACCTCCCCCATAAAAAGTCAACAGTTTGAACATTCATAATCCAAGGCTGGGGGTATACATTTGTCGGCCAAACCGACTTATACTCTTTTACTTGTTTTTGTTTTCAAATTTTAATAAATTTATTTATTATTTTTTGGCAAAGTACTTAAACGCAACTGTGTGTTATATGAATTCACAGGTGCAGCTGTGGGCAGGATATGCTGCAATTGCGGTTGTACTGGAGCAGCTTGAACCAAAGGCGTTTGTCCCGAATGCACATGATATGTTGTGGCAAAGGGTTGTTGCTGCTGCTGGTGCGGCTGTTCCACATAGATGTGTATATGCTGCTCCTGCTGTCGACGATTACCACCCAAGAGAGTATCCAAGGTACCGAGTAAACCTCCAGTAAGACTGCCAACGGTGTCGGCTAAAACATCCACGGTAGGAGCAGCCCGAACATCGGCTGTGCTGCAGGCAATTAAAAATACAATTCCAATGGTGAATAATTTCATTTTTTGATATATTTTCGGGGTGTTGCTCCTGCTATCGTCTTCAGAATGAAATTGCTTTAAATAAATTTGGGGAGGAAGAAATTCGGAATTTATATAGCATTCGGTAAAATACAAGATAAGGAAAAATATTTTTTCTTGTGGTTGCAATGTAGCGTAGAAAAATATATGTGGCATTATTTATTGTTGGCATGAAATAGGAAGTGATGTCTGTCATTTTGTCTTCCTGGAGATTGGAGATAATCATACAAATAAGAGATTTCGGCGGCTATTCGTGTAATATGAAAATAACAATATCAAACGTAGCTCCTGCTGAAAATTTTGAGCGTTGTTTGACAGGCTGTAAATCGCCCGCACAAGCCCATCCTTCTAGGTAAGTTCAAAAATTATTTTAAAAAATCCAAATTGGCCAAATTATTTTTGACTTCGCTTATGATTATTCAAATTGTTGACCTCAAATTGGAGTAGGTTCCGAAGGAATTGACAATATTGTCCATTTCGTGTTGGACCTTAATAAATATGTTATAAATATTGCCAGGTGCCAGGTTTGGACTACATCGACAACTTCCTTCACTTTATATGAGATATGTGATAATTTTTAGAAAATGTTAAAAGGTGTGTGAGTTACCAGATATGATCGACCGAAGTATTCCATTTCCATACTTCATTTAATACAGATAAAAATGTTGGTATGGGCAAAATGACAAGAAAATCGAACAGTTTTATCCAATTGTATGGGAAATCATAAATTTCATATTCATCTCAGGTTTCTGGTTAAGATAAATATTTCGATATATCACGTTGTAAAGAATGGCTGTGTTGTTTCGCAAGTTATGTCAAATAAAAGTATTGAAAATTGTGACCTTTTGTGGGTGATGTACCAGAAGGGGTTCGCAGATATATATCATCTTCACAACAGATCTTGCGTTAGCACAAATGTTTGTATGTGTGAAATTTGAAAAGAGTTGGATGCTTACTTCGCTTCCTATGAGCGTTTTGTTTTTTAAAATATTGAATCCCATGTGGGGGATGTACCACATGGAATGGTCCGGTCTCTACCATCTTTATAACAAATCTTCTGTTGATAGAAATATCGAGATGTGCCAAGCCGAAATGGAATCGGATGCTAATTTTGCGTTTTATGAGCTTCATGGATATTCAAAATGTTGACCCTTTGTGAGGGAGGTACCGGAAGGTATAGTCATTAGAATAGAAATTTGTAATTAGATTACCGGATGCTTATTTCGGATTTTATAATCGTTCTGGTTATTCAAAACTTTGACCCTTTGTAGGGGACGTACCAGTAGGAATTGTCCGATCTCTACCTTCCTTATAACAAATCTTCTGTTGATAGAAATATTGACATGTGCCAAGTCTGAATGGAATCGGATGTTAGTTCCGCGTTTTATGAGCTTCATGGATATTCAAAATTTTGACTCTTTATGGGGGAGGTACTAGAAGGAGTGGACCGATGTATTCCATCTTTACAGCAGATCTTGTGCTAGTAGAAATAATGTGATGTGTGAAATATGAAGAGATGCTTATTTCGGATTTTATAATCGTTTTGGTTATTCAAAACTTTGACCCTTTGTGGGGAGGTACCAGAAGGAATGGTCCGATCTCTACCGTCTTTATAACAGATATTATACTGATAGGAATATTTAGATGTACCAAGTCTGAATGGAATCGGATGTTAATTTCCCGCTTTATGAGCGGGATATTGAAATGTTGATCCTTTGTGGGGGGAGGTACCACAAGGAGTGGACCGATGTATCCCATCTTCACAGCAGATCTTGTGATAGTAGAAAAAATGGGATGTGTGAAATATGCTTGTTTCGGATTTTATAATCTGTTTGGTTATTAAAAACTATGACCCTTTGTGGCGGAGGTACCACATGGAATGATACGATCCCTACTATCTCCACAAGAAGAGGACCGATATGTCAAATTTTCACAGCAGATCGTGTGTTAGTAGAAATAATGGGATGTTTGAAATATAAGGAGTGCCGGATGCTTATTTCGGATATCCCTTTTGGGGAAGGTACCAGAAGAAATGACCCTACCATCTTTATAACAGATCTTGTGTTGGTGGAAATATTGAGATCTATCAAGTTTGTATGGAATCGGAGGTTAATTTCTAGTTTTATGATCTTCATGGATATTCAAATTGTTGACCCTTTGTTGGGGAGGTACCACAAGGAGTGGACCGATATATCCCATCTTTATAACAGATCTTGTGTTGATGGAAATATTGAAAATGGAAATATTGAGATTGACACATCTCAATGTATTAATGGAATCCGATAACAATTCCAAGTTTTATGAGCTTCATGGATATTTAAAAGTTGACCCTTTGTGAGGGAGGTACCAGATGGAATGGACCGATATATTCCATCTTCACACCAGAGCTTGGCTTAATAATAATATTGAAATCTGTGTAATTTAGAGACAATCGGACCCGTATATCATGCTTTATAAGAGTTATAATTATCAAAATGTTGTCCCTTTTGTGGGGGAGGTACTTGATGGAGTGACCCGATATTTTTCATTTTCGCACCTGATCTAGCACTGATTAAATATTACGATTTGCAAAGTTGAAAAGTCGGATTATAATTTCTCCTTCTGTGCAATAAAAAATATATATTCTTTTTTTAAATTTCGACCTTTTGCCCATATTGCCGATATTGCCCATCTCCGAACTCGATTTAAGGTTGATCAAAATATTAAGATGTACCAAGTTTGGATAAAATCAGATACTCTCTTTGAGCCAGACGGACGGACATAAATCCATTTAATTTTTTGAATCGACTCCAAAATTCCTGAAACGGATTTGGTCAAAAGAGACCTAGGGTCTAAAACCGTTATTTCAATGAGGCACGTTTTGGCCATATTAAATGATACATAAAATCTCTAGCCATATGGCTGAGGGTATAAAAAATTCACTTCCTTCTAGGTAAAATTAAAAAAATGTATGTCTTTTCAGAAGACTCTTGAAATTAATTATAAATATTTATTTCCTTTTGGAAACTACCTAAAATGGTGTAAAAATGCCCACTACCTTCTAGTATCCTCCTTTAATTGATTTAAAATTGCCACGGACTTCTAGCAACCTCTCAAAATTATAAGAAAAAAATGCTTTGTACATTTTAAATATTCAAGCTCTTCTAGTGACCTTTCTTTTTTCCAATATGTATACGTTCGTCTCAAAATAATTTAAAAACTGTAGCTTTCTCAGTTCTTTAAAATCGAAATCGAATTATACACATTTTTTCAAATTTTTGTTAAATCCAAATAATTTTGCGACATGTAAGAAAATATGTATGTTAAAATTATTAGATCGTCAAATAACATTTCGAATGACAGAAAAAATCATGGAGTACGTAACGGTGGGTTCAATAACGAATAACGCATCAACAATAAAAAAACATTTTCTGCTCATATTCAACAATGTAATCCCCATTTCAAAACAAATAAATTAATTAACTATCCAAATATGGCAATAAACAATTTAAAGAATTTTAGATTTTATAGAAAATGATAAGCATATTTTTTCTGGGCTTAAAAATCGAAAAAAAGACACATCTCAGACATTTTGTTATTGGCAGCCTGAGGTAATGACCTTTTGGGTGATTTGATTTTGTCAAAAATAAAAAAAGACGAGTAGAGTAGAGGTACTGCCATCAAGAACGTCAGTATGATGGCATGTATCTGTATTTCTTTCTTTGCCTTCAAAAAAGTTGCTGTATTTGTTGTTTGTTTGTTTGTCAGTGTGTGCTATGAAAGATCCTTGATCTCTCTTTATGCTTTTGCAGGTTTCCCTTTGAACATCTCAAAAAAAAAGGAACGAAGATCGAGCACCAAATTCACGGGAGATATTTTCCAAGGGAGCAACATGCAATCGAATTGAAGAACAACAATACCAGGTAGATTTGTCATTAGGGTGTGCATATGTCGTCCTTTGGTGTATTGTGTTTGTTGCATTTGTTTTGTGTTCTTTTTTTCTTCCTTGTATCCTTCGGCAAAATAAGGGATCATGCCGCGGCAGCAGCAACAGCGACAGCATGTGTACAAATATTTAATGCATGGTAGGAAATAAATTCAATGTTTTCAGGAAATTGGCGCTTTTTCTGAGATGCTGATGTTGTTGGTGGCGTCGGCAAATCGGGATATCAGGAAAGATAAATGAATTGAGAATAAATATTTTAGGGTTAAAAGAATACTACCCAGTATTCCAAATTATTGGATCCACCAGATATTGCCCTGGATCTTTTAGCCTCAAAAAAATATTTAAAAATATCCACGTCTTATATAAGCCTCAAAAAATATTTAAAAATATCCACGTCTTATATAAGCCTCAAAAAAATATTTAAAAATATCCACGTCTTATATAAGCCTCAAAAAATATTTAAAAATATCCACGTCTTATATAAGCCTCAAAAAAATATTTAAAAATATCCACGTCTTATATAAGCCTCAAAAAATATTTTAAAATATTCACGTCTTATATAAGCCTCAAAAAAATATTTGAAAATATCCTCGTCTTATATAAGCCTCAAAAAAATATTTAAAAATATCCACATCTTATATAAGCTCAAAAAAAAAAAAATATTTAAAAATTTCCACCTCTTATATAAGCCTCAAAAAATATTGAAAAATATACACGTCTTATATAAGCCTCAAAAAAAAAAAAAAAAAATATTTAAAAATATCCACGTCTTATATAAGCTTTAAGAAATATTTAAAAATATCAACGTCTTATATAAGCTTCAAGAAATATTTAAAAATATCCACATCTTATAGCCTCAAAAAAATATTTAAAAATATTCACGTCTTATATAAGCCTAAAAAAAGATTTAAAAATATCCACGTCTTATATAAGCCTCAAAAAAATATTTAAAAATATTCACGTCTTATATAAGCCTAAAAAAAGATTTAAAAATATCCACGTCTTATATAAGCCTCAAAAAAATATTTTAAAATGTCCACGTCTTATATAAGCCTCAAAAAAATATTTATAAATGTCCACGTCTTATATAAGCCTCAAAAAATATTTAAAAATATCCACGTCTTATATAAGCCTCAAAAAAATATTTAAAAATATCCACGTCTTATATAAGCCTCAAAAAAAATATTTAAAAATATCCACGTCTAATATAAGCCTCAAAAAAAATATTTAAAATATCCACGTCTTATAAAGGCCTCAAAAAATATTTAAAAATATCCACCTCTTATATAAGCCTCTACAAAAAATATTTAAAAATATCCACCTCTTATATAAGCCTCTACAAAAAATATTTGAAAATATCCACGTCTTATATAAGCCTCAAAAAATATATTTAAAAATATCCACGTCTTATATAAGCCTCAAGAAAATATTTAAAAATATCCACGTCTTATATAAGCCACAAAAAAAAAATATTTTAAAATATCCACGTCTTATATAAGCCTCAACAAAAAATATATTAAAAAATTAAAAATATCCAAGACTTATATAAGCCCCAAAAAAATATATATTTAATAATTACAAATATACACCCAAGCGCAAAAACAAAAAATAAATTTAAAAATTAAAAATATGCACGTCTTATCTAAGCCTCAAAAAAATATTTAAAAATTAAGAATATCCACGTTTTATATAAGCCTCAACAAATAAATATTTAAAACTTAAAAATATCCACGTCTTATATAAGCCCAAAAAAATATATTTAAAAATTAAAAATATCCACATCTTATATAAGCCTCAACAAAAAAATATTTAAAAATATCCACGTCATATATGAGCCTCAAAAATTTATTTAAAAATATCCCCGTCTTATATAAGCCTCAAAAATATATTGTGTGGTCCTTATAATCAATCATAGCCGTATTTGGTTTCTTTTTGAAGCTGCTTTTTATCCTCCCTATAGGAAATCGCTGTTATATTTGGTCCCTATTGAAACCGGTTTTTTTCAATCTCCATATATCAACACATCAATGCACCTATATCAAAACCAGAGCATACATTGACTATTATATTAATTTTTACTCGGTAATAGAAAACTTACATATATGGCTTCTGTCTATCCTCCCTATATGAAAACCTGAAATATTTTTTTCAAAATTGTAAATTTTTTTGGAATATTTTATATGGTTCCTATAACAAACTATTTACCATTCTTCGTTTTTTCGGCTTTTTATTGTTATAATTGTTGGCAAAAACTAACTTTTTTAGTGGATAATTGGACTTTGGGCGCCACAATTCTTAGAAGGAGCATTGAAGTTGAATTGACCATATTTGTGTGCTAACATTGACATAATTGGACCACTTTTTTATGAACCCTTTAACCCAAAATTAACACGTAACCATTTTTCACGAATTTTTTAATAGAGTCCCTATACTAAAGCCTTGACATATATGTCAAAGACCAATAAATATCTTTTTCCGATTTCAGTTTTATTGTGTGCCAAGTGGGTAATATTTGTCCAAATAGGATGTGTTTCAGCACATCTGACCGAATTCAGCCTAGAAACAAGTACTTCAAACTAAATCGGTTCAGGTATAACTATAGCTCCCATATATATATTTCATCCGATTAAGGGGTTTTAATTCCCTCACATGAGTAATGTGCATTCCACAAGAATGATATTTGTTACCACATAACTTATGGAGATTTCAGATTTTTATATAGCTTCGGTATACATCTTCATCCGATTTTGCGGTTATTGTCCACCATATATGTAATATCAGCCCGAATCAGATAGATTTTTAACCCTCCACCATACATTTTATGTAGGGTATATTAAGTTCGTCATTCCGTTTGTAACTCATCGAAATAATAATTTTAGACATAACAAAGTATACATATATATTCTTGATCAGCGTAAAATTCTAAAACGATTTAGCCCTGTCCGTCTGTCTGTCTGTTGTAAACACGCTAGAGTCAAAACTAATAGAGATATGATCTAAAATTTTGCACAGATCAGTCTTTCGTCTGCAGACAGGTCAATATCGAAGATGGACTATATGGGTCCACGATATCGTATAGCCCCCATACAACTGTACCCTCCGATATTCGATATTTTGACGATTTTATTGACATTATTCACCGGAGTAATGGGAAGTAAAGTCTATGGCAGATAATTGTCTGTGCAGGTCCACGTCTTCGTATAGCTCCCATATAACGGTACCTCCCGATATTCGGTATTTTGACGATTTAAGGTACAATATTCACCGAAATTGTTTAAAATTTCTTATTTAGAGTTCGTAATGGGGACTACAGTCTACGACAGCAAATTTTTATGCAGGTCCCTATATTCGGAATTTAATGATTTTAGCCACATTATTCACAGAATTGTTATACCCTTCAACATTGTATGGAGTGTATATTAAGTTTGTCATTCCGTTTATAACACCTCGAAATATCCATTTTCTGACCCCACAATGTAAATTTATTCTTGATCAGCATAAAATTCTATGTCGATATGGCAATGTCCGTCCGTCTGTGGAAATCACTCTAGCTTCCGAACGAAATGATGTAGATTGATAACAATTTACTCAAATGTATATTATGTCTGCAGGACTTTTGGTATTGAAGTTGGGTCATATAGGTCCACGTTTTGGTATAGGCCCCATATAACGGTACCTCCCGATATTTGGTACTTTGTTGATTTAAGCGACATTATTCATCGTAATTGTTTCAAATATGGTATTTGATGTTCGTATTGGATTCTACAGCTTATGAGAGGAGATTGTCTATGCAGGTCCAGGTCTTCGTATAGCCCCCTCCCTATATTCCGTATTTTGACGATTTTAGGTACCTTTATTCGGTATTTTGATGATTTTAGCGTCATTATTCACCGGATTTTTTTCAAGTTTCGTATTTGAATTTTGCAATGTTGTCTATGCAGGTCCAGGTCTTCGTATAGACTATAACGGCTATATTCGGTATTTTGAAAATATTAACAGAGTTTTCAGCAGATGTTATATATTGTTTTTTTTTTTTGAAAATTTCCAAATTCCAAATGGAGGTATAACTTACTGCATTTTTACTTGTTTCATATTCAACCGAATTTTTCCATTTGGTAAACTCGGTCTGGTATATATATTGCTCCAATGCATATTTTTTAATATATGCCTTATCGAAGTCACATCATGCTTTATACAGAGATGTTACTTGGTGCTTCAGGTACAAAAGCCTCCGTCAAATTTGTGGAAAATCGATTCAGAGTTGGATATAGTTCCCAAATTGTGACTACTCTAAAGCCAATAAGGTTCATAGTTGATATCATCTACTTCTAATAAATTCCCAAAATAAACTTTTTTCTTACGGGAGCTCCACTAAAAACGCATTGTGGTGTAGGGTATCATATAGTAGGCCTCGCCCGACTTTTGACCTTTCCTTCTTTTTTTTTTGTAAAATGCAACGTTTTTCAATGGAGAAATGAAAAGGAAGTTATATCATCTATTCTCACTTGAATTTTTTCAGTGTCTTCACCATCTGCCAGAACATGGCTTTTTTCTTAAAAATACATCCCTTACTCCACATCCTGTTGTTCATTTTGATAGTGAATCGATTATGTTTTTTCGGATATTTTGTATAGGTGTGTATCTATGGCTAAATGACAATATGCATCAGCATTAGTTTGTATTCTTCAAATTCTTTGCACCATTTACGGGATTTTTTCCGACCAATCATATTTCCACTCACTCTGTGGTGTAATGAAAGTGAAAATTTTAGGCTCAAGAACACAAATTCAGGCAACAACAAAAACATATCATTTAGTGCAACATTGTTGTTATTGCAGCATATTACCGAAAAAAAATAAAACATTAAAAAGAAAATCCGTTGCGCACATCAACCAAAGAAATTGGTAACATCTCATAACAATGGCCTGCAGAGAAGCCGAAGAAAAATAAGAAGAAGAAGAAGCAGTAAGACAATGGATTTAGAATATTCTGAATAGCACACGACAAATGTGTTGGTCTCCCTGACAATGGAACACTGATTTTTTTTCGTTTTCCTTTTTTTTGCCATGGGACAATTTTCAGCTGCTCGTATTTTGTTTGTTCGGAAATCTTTGGTAATTAACTCGTGATGCTTTTTGTTGGTGGTTTTCTGTTTCTTTTTTTCTCCTTCTTTCATTCAAAACCAGATGGTTTGGCAAATTAATAATTCACTTAAGAAGATTTCAATTTTTTTTGTTGTTATCGAAGGTGACTAGCTTAGTTTGCATAGCCGACTGTTTGGCTGAGCTGTTTTAAATAATTAGAATCGATGAGTCAGCTTGTGGTCTATTTTGTTTTCTTTTATTATTTTTAAATGTGTTACTGGTCTTGTCTACTTTAACGTAAAGGGGATTTTTGGGAATCTCCAAAACAGAGCTACTAAGAAATTATGACTTAATACAGATTACAGCATAATCAGCTGTCTGAAATATAGCCGAAATATTAAAAATAACAATTTTTTATGCAGAATCGAATAGATGGTGGTTATGATTAAGAGTTAATATTTGAACATATTATTTTGAATTTCCATTGAAGCATACTACATTGTCAACAATTGCTCTGTCCCAGAAACTGCCAGAATGTAATAATTTTTTCAATTTTTTTTTTTTGATTTAATAAAGAAAAAATTGCATATATCATAGTAAAAATTTCTAAATTTTTTCAATTCTGAACAGAACAAATATCATCAAAATGGTAATATATTGATATATGGAAATTGTACGTTGGGCGCCACAATTGTTAAAAAAAATTGATATGGACCTTTTGACCAAAAACATACAAACAAAAACATCATATTCAAGGGATTGTATACAAGGCCGCTACACTAAAACTTTGAAATATATACAGGGTGAGATTAAAACACTGCAACCAACTTCAGACTGATGTCATTTCTAAGTCACTCGTTCGACAGCTGCTAAAATTATTCCAAGCGTGATAGTGTGATTTCTTTATATTTGGCTGAAAAACCACAAGTGGTTATCGTTAGAGCACTCCAGTATTTAAATGTGAATAAATCTTTCGTGTCTCGTACCATCACTCGTTACCGTGATACTGGTAGCGTAGCTCGACGTCAAGGAAGTGGACCAAAGAAAACAGCTACATCAGCTGAAATGGTTCGAAAAGTTAAGAAGCGACATGATCAAAACCCGCTTTGCAGTGGCCGAAAAATGGCTCGTGAGCTGAACATATCGCAATATTCCATTCGGTAAACATTGAAATGAGAAACAAAAAGAGAATAGACTCAAAAGAGCTAAAGAGTTGTTTCGCTTGGCCGAAAGTGGTGAACTGCCGAATTTGGTTTTCTCCGTCTCCGATGAGAAAACATTCGTTGTCCAGCAGTTTTTAAACAAACAAAATGATCGTGTTTACTTGCCAAAGAGGTCAGCTAAAAATGTGCACCTTCGGTTGGCCACCAGAACTCAAGCGCCAGTCATGGTGATGGTGTGGGCCGTCATAACAGCCGATGGTCGCTTTCCGCTCGTTTTCATCCACCGTGGCATCAGAATAAATGCCGAATATTATCGTGAAAATATTCTGGTCGTATTAAAGCTTAGGGCACGCAAACATTTTGGCTGCAGACCTTGGAAATTCCAACAGGACTTAGCATCATCGCACTCAGCACTCGCCACACAAGAATGCTTACAAAATGAGGTTCCTCGATTCATTTCCAGCCCACAATGACCACCAAAATCTCCGGATACCAATCCGTTGGACTATTGTTACCACTAAAATATACCACCAAAGTTTTTCACTTCAAGCAAGCGCTTCGGCGGGAATGGGCCAAAATACCACAGAGAAACATTCGGGCAGCATGTGACGGTTTCATTGGCCGTTTGAAGGCTATAATTCGTGCCAAAGGTTACAAATTCGCTTTCAGTCAATAAAATTTAAAAAAAAAATTAAAAATTATGGTGTTTGACTTGTTGCAGTTTTTTATCTTACCCTGTATATTACAAATTTGAATAGTTTCAAAATTTTTGGCTTAAATTTATTTATTTCATTTCAAATTTGTACGATGGGCGCCACATTCCTAAGAACTGATATTAAACATATCTACGTATTACCTAACGATTTGGACTTCTACGCACGAGAAATAACCTCTATGTCGAGTTTCAGAATTTTAGTTTCTCTTCTATGCATTTAGTACTATTGGTACTTTTTAGAGTGAAAGAAGTACGATTTTAAAAATAGAGTTTTTCAGACAAATTTAAATTCGTCTCTTACCGAGTAATATTGAGATCGGATATACGCGATTTAAAAATTTTACGATTCTCGAAATTTCAAAATTCTGCCGCTAAAAGTAAGAAATGTTAGTTTAATAACAGATTTTAGTACGTTCAGGAAT